TCTTCCAAAAACAACTTTCTTTTTGCTATAAAATAATCCTTTGGTACACCGTGAAATGTGCTGCTCTCGTCAGTTTAATAAAGAGCTAGCTGGACAGTAGCTGGGCAGGAAGAGGGCAGGCGGCAGAGCCAGACGGAGAGGATGCTGGGAAGAAGGGCAGAGTTGCCAGCCAGATGCAGAGAGCAGGATGTGTAGAAGTTGAGGTAGCAAGCCGTGAGCCACGGGGCACAGATACATTTATAAATGGGCCGAGCATTTATAATTAATAATCAATCTCTGTACGGTTGGTTATTTGGGAGCTGACTGGCAGGGCAGAAACTTCCGCCAACAGCATTTCATTAAAATATACCAACCACAAAAGACTTATTACGGTGGCAAGGCAGCATGGCATGGTGGTGCACAGTCTATGGTCCAGCACTTGGGGCGGAGAGATGGGAGGATCAGAAGTTCAAAGTCATCCTTGATGGTATAAGTGAGCTAATGTAGCATTTCCTTTGTGAAATCCTGTCTCAAAAACAGAGACAAGGTATTGCGGGGGTGGAGGTGGGGATGGCTAAAAGCACTGTCTGCTCTTCCAGAGGACCCAGGTTCAATTCCCAGCACCCACATGGCTGCTCACAACCACCTGTAACTCCAGTTCCAGGGGATCTGACGCCCTCTTCCGGTCTCCAAGGGTACCAGGAAGGAAAGTGGTGCATGGGTGTACCTGCAGACAAAACATCCACGCACATAATTAAATAAGCAAACAAAATAGAAGAGAAAGAGAGGACAGAGGTGGAAAAGAACAAATAATGTTTTTATTTTTTCCCCTAAAATTTGCTAGGAAACAGCTTACATCCACTATGCTGCACCCATACTGAAAGCTGAATTCAATGAGTTCTAACAATGTAGAATATTCCCTCAGCCTAGAATGTTACCTCATGTTTGATGACAGATAGTCCCTCCCCCTACCAAAGGGCCTACATGACCATAGATTGGTTATTGTTACTGCAATATGCTTTCCTTTTTCTGAAATTTTCTACCTGTAGAATTTTCTGTAAATGGAGTCATGTATTCTACTTGTTTTTGGGATCTGGCTTCCTTGATGTAGCATAGTGATCTTGAGGTAACCTCACTTCATTAAACATCAGTAGCTTATTTCTGTTTATTACTGAGTAAGAGTCTGCTGTTCGGCTCCCTCAACTTTTGTTTATCCATTCCTTATTTGGTGGGCATTTTTGTGAAGAAAGATGTAATGAGTAGCCACATAGGAGTCTTTATGCGGGGGTATGTCTTCATTAATTTTGGGATTCTGATAGTGGGATTGCTGGTCATAGGTGGATATTTTCTTAACATTTGAGAAAGAACAGACATTTCCCAAGGTGACTTACCATTTTCTATTCTTACCAAAAGTATAGAAGTTTGTTGCCCTACATCCTCTGCAACACTCAATATTGTCAGTCTTAATATTAGCCATTTTAATGAGCATGCCATAAAATCTCATTATGCTTTTACTTTGCATTTCCCTACAATGACTAATATGTTTATTATCTATTCTTATATCTTATTCTATAAATCATTTGTTCAAATCTCTTATCCGTTAACATTTTTTGCTGTTTTAACCTTTGTAAGCATTTAAAAAATCCTGTATACAAATAATTTGCTCTATATACTAGCTTCATTGTGTTTATTTAATGGTATATTTTGAAAAACAAAACTTTAACATTTTGACAAAGTCTGGTAACAAGTTCTATTTAATCACTTGTATTCTTTTTGTAGCTTATGAAAGACATTTATCTATTTTATGCTTGCAAAGATTATTTTCTCTTCAGTTGTGTATAAAGAGTTTCATTTTTTTTTGAGACAGGGTTTCTCTGTATTGTTCTGGAGGCTGTCCTGGAACTCGCTCTGTAGACGAGGCTGGCCTCGTATTTACAGAGATCTGCCTGCCTCTGCCTCCTGAGTGCTGGAATTATAGGCGTGTGCCACCAACGCTCAGTGAGTTTCATGTTTTTTAACCATTTACATTTAGGTTAATTTTATTTTTTGCGATACAAGATAAACATCTCTTTGAGTAGAAAAAATCAACACTTCTAGCAACCTTTGTTGAGAAAAACCTTCCTTTGCTAGTTGGAATTTCCTGTACCTTTGAACATCAACTAACCATACATACATGAGCCCATTTCTGATTCTCTGTCCTATTCTATTGATCTATATACCTGTCTGCCTTTCTTTAATTATGTTTTATAATTTTGTAAGTAGACAGTGGTAGCAACAACTGTCAATTTTTTTCTTTAAAAATTACTTTTTTGTTTGTTTTGAGACAAGACATACATGACTGTACTGGAACTCACTATGTAGACCGGGCTGGCCTTGAACTCACAAAGATCCACCTGCCTGCCTTTGCCTTGTAAGTACAGGAATTAAAGGTGTCACTCATCATGCCAGGATAATAGGTTGTTTTTATTATTATTTTAATTTCACTTGAATTTTTAAAAACTTGTGTGTGTTTTTATGTATGGGCACCATGTGTGTAAGGTGCCAGAGGAGGTCAGAAGAGGGCGTCAGAAACCCTGGAGCTGAAATTCAGGTGTCCTGGGTTGCCTGATGGGAGTGTGAGAAATGAGCTTGGATACTCAGCAAGTGCTCTTAACTGCTGATCCGTCTTTCCTGCACCTAGGAATTTTTTATGAACTTTAAGATCACCTTCCCAATTTCTCCAAAATGCACTGGGATTTATAGGCTTTGAGCCTATAAATTAATTTGAGGGAAATTTACACTCTAATATTTAGTTTATCTCTTCATTTTTTTATGGCTTTAAATAGTCTCTTGGAAATGTTCTGCAGTTCTTGGTATAAAAGTCTATACAACTTTTGATGACTTTTTTCATAAATAACTTACATTTTTAGACTCTATTTTAAAGAGAATTGCTTTTTTAAATGTCGTTTTTACTGTTGCTTGTGGCCAGCATATATAAACATGAATTGATTTGGTTGTATCTAATGATCTTACTAAATGTATTTACAGGCTTTTTATTTAATAGTTATGTTTCAGAGCCCTTAGGATTTCTCCAGCAAATGAGGAATTTGATTTTTCCTGTCTGAAGTTTCTGACTTGTATTTGTCTTACCTCATTGTGATAGCTCAAATCGGCGCAATGATGGGAAATGGAAGTGGCAGCAGCTGCCCAGGCTCTCAGTCCTGAGGGCAGTCAATCAAGTGCTTGCTGGTAAGAGTGCCTGCGTGTGCTCACAGCCAGAAGTAGCCAGCATGAAGGCTCTTTCTTCAGGTTGACTGAGTCGTCAGCAAGTTGTGATGTTTCAAAATCACAAACTGATATCCAATCATTTCAAAAGTTTATTACTACACAGAGAGTGTTATATTTTTTTCTCCTTTGTTGTAGTACTCTGCTGATTGTGTTTATGTGATTGGCTTTATGTATTTAAACTATCTTATACTTCTGTGACAAACTTTACTTGGTTATAATGTATTAAGGTCATGATTTTAAAAATTATATTGAGTACCATTTACTAATATTTTGTTTTAAAAATTTGGCTATATGCTTTTGAGAGGCATTGATTTTGCTTGTTTGTTTGTTGTTTTTGCTTTCTGAGACAGGGTTTCTCTGGGTGGCCCTGGCTGTCCTGGAACTTGCTGTGTAGACCAGGCTGGCTTTAAACTCAGAGATCTGCCTGCCCTTGTCTCCCTAGTGCTGGGACTAAAGGCGTGCATCGCCACTGCCTGGCAACACTGATGTTTAATATGCCCTATAAAACCATGCTTTTGTTGGTCTGGGATAGTAGAGATAGCATAGATTGCATAGCTATGTGTACATCTGTCTATTAACTTTCCATATTTACCATGAACCTCACGAGTGCTTAAGTTAGTTATTAAAATGTAAAAGGTGAGGTTCCTCTTTTATTTTTACATTTATTTTTCACGTTGTGCATGCATGTGTATTGTGTCTCAGCTTGCATACAGAAGCCAGAGGGTAACTTTTGAGGAGTTGTTTCTCTTCTTGTACCATGTAGATCCCAAGGATGGAACTCAGGCTGTTAGGGTTGATAGCAAGTGCCCCCTCTGTGGAGTCATCTTGCTGACTCAGGTGCCTCTTAAAGAAATGGTTCATAAGAGGGCAGGTCACTGTTAAGAGGGCGTGTCATAGGACTCTACTCATTTTTTAAAAGGATTTATTTATTTGTGTGTGTGTGTGTGTGTGTGTGTGTGTGTGTGTGTGTGTGCGCGCGCGCGCGCGTGCTCGCGCCTATGAGTTTATGTGTACCGTATGCAATGCAGTACCAGAGGAGGCCGGAAGATGGCAGTGGATCCCCTGGAAGTAGAGTTGCAGGCAGTTGTTAGCCACCCAGTGTGGGTGCTGGGAACTAAACCTGGGTCCTCTGCAAGAACACTGAGAGCCATGTCTCCCTCTTCGTGCTGACAGAGACCGGTCCCCGAGTGTCCGCCCACCATTCTTTTTTTTTTTTCTTTTGGTTTTACGAGACAGGGGTTTCTCTGTATTGTTTTGGAGGCTGTCGGTCTAGCCCGGCCTCAAACTCACAGAGATCTGCCTGCCTCTGCCTCCCGAGTGTCCGCCCACCATTCTTAGTTCCTCGCTACACTTCATAGCGCCCATCACTCCTCCCAGCACACTATTGTCTGCTTGTTGATCTGCTTATGGTTTCTCTACTTGATAGGAAAGGTTTTCTTGCTGTGTTTTTCTCCCCTTCAGCCCCCGGTGTCCTTGGGAACAAACCCAGGTCCTTGCACAGGATAAACAAGTTCTCTGCGGCTCAGCGACATCCCACACCCACCCCTTTCTTAACTGGTGGCCTCTCTTTAGGATGGATTCTGATAGATTTCTTCAATTACGTAAGATGCTGAGAAAGGCTTTCAGAAGGAAACCCAGGACTGTCTTTCCAACTCCAGTGAGACCAGGAAAGAGTGTGAACTCCAGAGGCAGGCTGCTGAGAGTTCAAAAATTCTCCAGTGTTTACTGCGCAATTAGGAAAACTGGACTTATGGTTTTGCTCAAGATATTTTTTTAATCTGTAAAATAGGATAGAAACAGCAGTCACCTTCATGTGCTGTATAAGAACTAGGTAATAGCTTTGTATAGTGACTCATGACTCATGACAGTAATCTTAGCATTTAGAAAGCTGAGGCAGGAGGATTCTTGAGTTTGAGGTCAGTCTGGACTGCATAGGGAATTTTAGACTAGACTTGGTTTGGAAGGAAGGTCCACCTCCTTCCTTCCTCAGTCCTAATGAGCTCTTGGTGTTCTTGGAGGAATGTCCCTCTTGAGAGCACGGTGCTTTCCCAGCATCCTCTGTGACTTGTTCCATGTCTGTGTACAGGATAAAGCTAGAATTGATATCTGGGAAATATTAGGAAACGTTTGTTTACAAAGGGAGAATTATGCATCACATTTAGTTGTCTTGTATCCTGTCTGGGTCCTCGGAATGAGACATGGGCTACCTTTCAAACCAGGTACGCTTTTGCCAGTGGCATCCGGTCCTATCCATTTGCACTGAATGGCTAGCCAGGGTGGAGATTTGCATTATAATTTCATAACTGATATGATGCTCCTTTAGAGCTGCCTCTGAGTGGCTTAATGAAGAGTTATTTCAGTCCAGATGGCCTGGAGCAATAAAATCTGAATTCTTTTCCAAGTCAGCTCATGGAAAACATCTAACACAGTGGGGGACTGTCTGTACAGGACTACAGTGGACCCAGCTGTCCGGCTGTCTCTCTCAAAGGGAATCCTCCTCCCAAGAGAACCCCTGTGGACTTGGAGTTGCATACAACCTGCTCCACCTCCTTCCTTCCTCAGTCCTAATGAGCTCTTGGTGTTCTTGGAGGAACGTCCCTCTTGAGAGCACGGTGCTTTCCCAGCATCCTCTGTGACTTGTTCCATGTCTGTGTACAGGATAAAGCATTAACATGGGTCTTAGTTAGGTTTCTGCTGCTGTGACAAACACCATGACCAAAATTAGCTTGGGGGGGAATGGGCTATCTCAGCCTACATGTCCCAGGTCACACTCCACTGCTGGGAGAAGTTAGAGCGGGAACTCAAGGCAGAGACTGAAGCAGAAGCCACCGGGAAAGCTATCTGTTGTTGGCTTGCTCCCCATAGCTTCCTCAGGCTGCTTTCTTATACAGCTAAGACAACAAGCCCAGGGATGACTCCATGACAGAGGGCTGGGCCCTCCTACTTCAGCCATTAACCAAGAAAATGCCATACAGACTTGCCTACAGGCCATCTAATGGATTGTCCTTCCCAGGTAAGTCTAACTTGTGTCAAGTTGATGAAAAACAATCCAAGATATCACCCTAGCAACAACAACAAAAATTGACCTCTGTTTGTTCTACACTTTCTTTCTTTTTTTTTTTTTAACTTACATGGGCTGTAGTAACTTTAGACTTCCTTCCTTTAGTTATCAAGTCCCTTATTGCTGAGTAGAAAGTGCTCTTCCTCAGTGGAGGAATATATCAGTAAGTCTGTTTGGAGTAAAGCTAGTAAGAATAATATGTGCTCCAGCAAAAACAAAAGCAATGTCGTCCTCACTTTCCACAGTCCCCTTCATCCAGTCCCCTGGGTACAACCAGGGACTGAAGAGCAAAGGTACAACCAGCAAGATAATCTTACCTCTGCCTCTACTGTTTTGTTTCTTTTTTGTTGTTTGTTTGTTTGTTTGCTAATATTAGTAGAGAAAATGCCCAGCCATGATTAATTAAAAACTTAAAACCACTGTAATCACCTGCGGAAAACCTACTGCTAGTGTGCTGTATGATGAGGAAGCGAATGCCATCTTTTGAGATGGACAACATTGGACAGGTGCTTGCTCTCACCGTTTTTTAAATAGATTTATTCAATCATTCATCTAATTATCTATCTGTCTGTCTGTCTATCTACCTATCTATCTCTTTTCAAGATGGGGTTTCTCTATAGCTTTTGAGCCTGTCCTGGAACTCGCTCTAGGCCAGCCTGGCCTTGAACTCACAGAGATCCACCTGTCTCTGCCTCCTAGGTGCTGGCATTAAAGGTGTGTGCCACCCACCACCATCCAGCCAACAGATTTGCTTTTAAAATTATGCATCTGTGTGTCTCTGTGTGGGTATGTGCACGTGGGTGTCAGCAGCTGCAGAGTACGTTAGAGCTAGAGTTATAGACTATTGTGTGTAGATGGAAGTTTCTGTTCTGCCTGGTCCTGCAGCTGTTTAGTCCCAAGTAAACACACAGAGGCTTATATTAATTATAAACTGTTTGGCCGATGGCTCAGGCTTCTTATTAGCTAGCTCTCTCTTAATTATTAGCCCATTTCTATTAATCTAAGTATTTCCACGTGGTCTTGCCTTACCAGAGAATGCCTGGAGTCCTATCATCTTGGTAGCTACGTGGCATCTCCCTCAGAACTCTTCGTCCTGTCTTCCCGAATTCTCCTAGTGTAGTAGCCTCGCCCATACTTCCTGCCTGGCTACTGGCCAGTTAGCATTTATTCATCACCCAGTAAGAGAAACATATATTCACAGCATACAGGTCATCCCCCATCAATTGCGAGTCAACCAACCGAGGTACTGGGAAGTGAACACAGGTCCCCAACAGGAGCGCTGTGACAAACCATTTGTCTAGTGCCTCATTCCTTCTTTCTAACCATTCTAAGAGCATAGCCATTAACCATTCTAAGAGCATAGCCATTAACCTTTCTAAGAGCATAGCCATGTAAGTATGAGGACCCCAGTCCGCATCTCTAGCACCACATAGAATCTGAGGGTGGTGGTGCATATCTGGGGAGGGAGACAGGAGAATTCTGGGGGCTTGCTGGCCAGCCAGTCTAGTTGAATATGTTGACTCCAGGTTCAATGAGCAGTTCTGTTCCGCGAAATAGGGTGAAGGGGTTGGAGAGATGGCCCCATGATTAAGAGTGTTTACTGCTGTCGCAGAGGACCTAGTTTTGATTCTCAGCACCCACATGGCTACTCACAAGAGCTTAGAACCCCAGTTTCAGGGTATGTGGCACTTTCTTCTGGTCTCCATAGGCTCCTGCACACATCTAGTGCCTATAAATTCATGCAGGCCCACATATATATGCATGTGAATAACAAGTAAATAATTAAAAGGGCTTAGCCAAAGGCTCTCACCTCCACACTTGACAACCTGAGTTCAATCCCTCGAGTCCACATAGTGGAAGGAAAGTCGATTTGCGCAACTTGTACTCTGACCTCCACACGTGTAGCATAACACATGCTTGTCCACATACAGGTTCATATACATACACCTGCAAAAAAATACATAAATGTAAAAGCATGTTTTCCTTTTAAATGGTGGAGACCTACTGAGAAAGATATCTAACATTGACCTTTGGCCTTCACACACGTATGCACACATGTGCACACACACACACACACACACACACATACCCCCCCCCCACACACACATGCAAGATGCTTACCTAACTTGTGTGAGCCCCCAGGTTCCATCCCTAGTACAAAAACAAAACAAAACAAAAATAAACAAACAAAATCAAAGAAACAAAAACATCTAAAAAATGGCCCCCAAGAAGCTCTGAATCTGGGGCAGGGTGGGGCTGGGCCTTTAAGAGTAATAATTGTGAGTTTTATGAAGCCTATGTCTTATTTAAAAGGATAATCATTCTTGTGCTATATTCCCAAATGTACTACTTTGTATATTCCCCAAATGCTACTTTCTAATGAATAAAGAAATAGTCTTTTAAGATGAGGGAACTGCTTGAATGCTGCTCTGTAATAACCTTTCCCCCCCTTTTTGATTCAGGGTGTCATGTACTCTGAGCTGGCCTGTGTCATACTGTGTAGCAGAGAGAATGGTCTTGAATTCCTAATCCTCTCCCCCCCCCCACCTCCCCACTGTTGGGATTACAGGCAAATGCCACCATCCCTGTCCCTCTCCCTCCAGGACTGCTTGCTGCTCATGCTGGCCTCTTACTCACTTTAGCAGAGGTGACCTTGAACTCCTGATTCCCCTTTCTCCATCTCCCAAGCTCCAAGATACCGGCACGTATGCTGGCCTTACTCTTGAGCTCCCTTCATTAGGGAGTGTCCGGGGCTCGTTAGAGCTTAGTCAGAGGTGCCTTTGTAAGGACATGTCTCCTTTACTTTTTAGTCGTCAGAGATCAGACAGACAGACGCCAGGAAAGAGAGTAGTTCTACTCCTCTGCTTTTCTTAAGATGGGTGTGCAGGGAGGAAACTTGCAGTGCATTGAAGCACATTACTGTCTGTCTTTACACTTCTTTATTTGTGTGTGGTAGCCTGTGCTCTGCAGCTCCAGGAAAGCCCACAGGCAGTAAGGGGTTGGGAATGGAGGGGGGGGGCGTGGGGAGAGGCAGTGCAGCTGAAGACAATAACCGCTGCTGTCAAGAGCAGAGTTTCAGAGCCAGGAGCCTCCAAATCCACCGATAACTCACTCTGTACTTGCTACACTACAGGGTCAGCTGCGTTCCATTCTACAGATGGAGGAATTAAGACCTCGAGAGATCTAACCTGGCCGTCAGGAAGAGCTGGGTCATGTACCCCTTGGCTGGATGGGCTCCACGCTTCTTTAACCTTTGCTACTGCTGCCTTGACAGAGGCCCATATAGTGTGTATGTATATGTGTGTATGTGTGAGCACGTGTGAGTATGTGTGTGTGTGTGCACGTGCGCACATTTGAACTTCTGCATTGTACCCTGCAGACAGAAGACTCAGTCCTTCCCTGAAGCCTCTCACCCCAATGTTGTACCTCTGAGGATTGTGGGATTAAAGCTGGAGTTAGAGGGGCACTTCTTTCTCTGAGGACAGCATTAAGGGCATCGGACCTTCAGGGTTTTAGGAACGAGAGTTTGCAGACACAGCCTAGAGACAGAGCAGTTTTAGAAACGAGTTTGGTGGGGAAGCCCTGTGTATATGTCAATAAAGCACTGTTGGCCAATAGGGAAGCAAGATAAGTGGGACTAGGAGTCCAGGAGGACTCTGGGTAGGAGAAACACAGGGAGTCACTATGTAGCCCGCCAGAGAAGTAAGAAGCCTGGAAACTTTTCTCCGGTAAGAGAAATACTTAGATTAACAATTATGGGATAAATACTTAAGTCAGAGCTAACCAGTAAGAAACAAGCAAGGCCAACAGCTTCATAATTAATGCAGCGTCTTGTGTGTTATTTGGGGACTACAATGTGGCAGAGCCCAGGCGACTGGTAGGGAAAAACCAAAGCAGCTAGCAAGGAAAAGGCTTCTCTCTACACGAGTTTAGTTGTGACCGGTGTGGAGTAGGAGAGAGAAGGGCCTGTGTACCCGCACACCAGAGAGGGAAGGGCCCATGTACCTACACACCAGAGAGGGAAGGGCTGTGTACCCGCACACCAGAGAGAGAAGGGTCTGTGTACCCGCACACCAGAGAGAGAAGGGTCTGTGTACCTGCACACCAGAGAGAGAAGGGTCTGTGTACCCGCACACCAGAGAGAGAAGGGCCCGTGTACCTGCACACCAGAGAGGGAAGGGCCCGTGTACCTGCACACCAGAGAGGGAAGGGCACCCAGAGCCTATGTACCTGCACACCAGAGAGAGAAGGGCCCGTGTACCTGCACACCAGAGAGGGAAGGGCCCGTGTACCTGCACACCAGAGAGGGAAGGGCACCCAGGGCCTATGTACCTGCACACCAGAGAGAGAAGGGCCCGTGTACCTGCACACCAGAGAGAGAGAAGGGCCTGTGTACCTGCACACCAGAGAGGGAAGGGCCTGTGTACCCACACACCAGAGAGAGAAGGGCCCGTGTACCCGCATACCAGAGAGAGAAGGGCCTGTGTACCTGCACACCGCTCGCATTCATGTTAGCACTTTTGTTTTCACTTTAGTATTTTAGTGTTGGTCCCCTACAGACCTCTATGCATCTCTCATCTTTTCGTGGCTTATTACTTATTACTATTACTCTTTTCTTTTCCCTTTTTAACTTGGTACCCTTTTAAATCCACCCTTACAACCTCCAAGGGCGATCTCTCGGGGTCCCCTTTCTTTCCTGACTTTGGTGTAGGGCAAAGGCCTGGAGATTTAATCCTTCAATTTTACTGACTGCTAGTATTTGAGGTAACTGTTTTCATTTCCTTTCTTTCCTAAGTCTCCCCTTTCTTTCCTGGGTGTCTCCTTTTCTTTTCTGATCTTTCCAAGTTTCTCTAAATCTTGGTGGAAATTCCACTTGTGGCATCCGTGCCACGGGAAACGAAAGACAAGGTGTCTGGCTGTCTGTGCTGAGAGAATGCATCTGCCGCCTCTATTGCCAGGAGAATGCGTGCGTGCGTGCGTGCGTGCGTGCGTGCGTGCGTGCGTGCGTGCGTGTGTGTGTGTGTGTGTGTGCTGTAAAGAGTGAGCAGCCTCATATACAGAATTACGGCACAGTGGAGAAACCCCAGGTGTAAGAGCTCGTGTTTTCCTCTTGCTAGATTTTGATGTCAGGTGGGTAAGCCAGGACTAGAGAGCAGGATGCACCTGTGGCTATCAGCTGACAAGCAATGCACAGAGGCCTGTGGGGGCTGGGGCCCAACATTTTAGTTTTTTTAAAATGAGGTTTGTAGAGAGAAGCCTTTTCCTTGTCTGCTGCTTTGGTTTTTCCCCACCAGCCGCCTGGGTTCTGCCACGTTGCAGTCCCCAAATGAACACACAGGATGCTGTATTAATTATGAAGCTTTTGGCTGTTTGCTTGTTTCTTACTGGCTATCTCTGACTTAAATATTTAACCCATCTAAGTATTTCTCTTACAGGACGGACATCTTACTTATCTGGCGGGCTACATCTTGACTCCCCGTGTTTCTCCTACCCAGAGTCCTCCTGGACTCCTAGTCCACCTATCTTGCTTCCCTATTGGCCAACAGTGCTTTATTGACGTATACACAGGACTTCCCCATCAAGGCTTCACTTCCATCTTCCTGGCACAGTGTCCTGAGTGCTGGGCTTACAGGCACGAACCCCATACCCCCTTTATAGTAAGTACTGAATAAAAGTAGGACAACTTGGGGTGGGCAGATGGCTCAGTGGTCAATGCACTTGCTGTATAAATGTGAGGAACTGAATTCAGATAGCCTAGATCTCTGCAAATTCTGGGTGGGAATGACATCACTCCTGTCCCCCTAGCACTTGGAAGGCTGATCCCCAAAGCAACCTAGCTAGTCAGACTAGCTGAAAGAGGGAGCTGTGGGTTCCACCGAGGCCACACCTCACTGAGAAGGGAGGAAAGTGATGGAGAGCGACTCCTGGGATGCCAGGCTTTCGCCTGCACCCACCCTTGCATGAGCACTCGCCCACATACATGTGCCCACACACGCATGCTCCCCGCAGGCATATACACACAAGAAAAAAGAAAACTTTCTGCGTCTCCTCCAGTGCTCATGGCAGTGCTCACCATGGATTCACTGTCAAGCATGAATGCCCGGAGACGGCACACCCACTCAGCACTGGCCTGCTTAGTAGAAGTCTAGAAAAATGACAGCAAGAATGTTAGAGAGTGTTCTCAGTGGTGCTGTGACTAAGGCGCTGGCTCAATTCTGTGTGTTCATTTCATGCTCCTGCTGGTTCATTTCATGACCCGAGAAGGATCATCAAACCTTGACCCAGAGCATCAGGAACATCTCCAAGGAGAGCTCCCAGAGTGCTCTCTGTCTTCACTTCAGTGCTTTGGACTTAGCCAAGGTCAGGAAAAAAGGCTGCTGTGACCTGAAGGCCTACATCTTGCAACTCACAATCCAAGGCAAGAGCATCCCTATATTGAATCCTGTAGGAGGACTTAGAGTGACTGTGGAAGGCAAATTAGTCTTTAGACCAGTCAGTACAGACATGGAGAGTTCTGGCTAGTTCTATGTCAACTTGGCACAAGCTAAAGTCATCAGAGAGGAGGGAGCCTCAGTTGAGATAATGCTCCCAGAAGATCAGGCTGTAGGAAAGCCTGTAGGCCATTTTCTTAATTAGTGATCAATGCAGGAGGGTCCAACTCATTGTGGGTGGGGCCATCTCTGTGCTGGTGGTCCCGGGTTCTACAAGAAAGCAGGCTGAGCAAGGCAGTAAGCAGCATCCATTCATGGTCTCTGCGTCAGCTCATGCCTCCGGGTTTCTGCCCTGTTCGAGTTCCTGTCCTGACTTCCTTCAGTGAAAGACTATGGATGCAGAAGTAAACCCTTTCCTCCCTAACTTGCTTTTGGTCATGATGTTTCATCACAGCAATTGAAACCCTAACTAGGAGGCCAGGTGGTAGTGGTGCACGCCTTTAATCCCAGCACTTGGGAGGCAGAGGCTGGCGGATCTCAGTGAGTTCAAGGCCAACCCAGTCTACAAAGTGAGTTTCAGGACAGCCAGGGCTACACAGAGAAACCCTGTCTTGAAAAACCAAACCAAACCAACCACAAACAAAAAAAGAAACCCTAACTTGCATGGGGGAGAGGGCTATTATGATTAGCCAAGCCTGGGTCATATACCCACCTATTGAGCAAGCACTGACTGACAAAGTCACTGGAGGGGATTGTCTATTTGCCTATGCTTTATCTAAAGTTAAACTTATCTTGGAATTATATTTTATCTGGTGTGCACTTACAAATAAATATGAAAAGAATAAAATAAAAATACAGAAAAACTAAAATTCTATTTCCAATAGAAATAAAATGCGAGCTAAATATGCAATTTAAACTGTAATAGTGGCTGTACTTTACAAAGTAAAAGGAACAGCTGGAGGAGATTTTAATGGGGTCTTTTACTTAATGTAAGTATATAAAATACATTCATTTTATCATGTTGGCAATATAAAACTTATTGAGATATTTTACATTATTTTTATGCTTACAGAAAAATCTCAATTTAGATGCTAATTTAAAAAAAACTTACAGAAAAGATTTAGTGTGTGTGAGTGTATATGTGTGTGCGGATGTGTGTGTGTGTGTGTGTGTGTGTGTGTGGTAGACTTGTGCCACAGCATGTATGTGTGTGTGTATGTGTGTGTGTGCAGTAGACTTGTGCCACAGCATGTATGTGTGTGTATGTGTGTGTGTGTGTGTGTGTGGTAGACTTGTGCCACAGCATGTATGTGTGTGTGTATGTGTGTGTGTGCAGTAGACTTGTGCCACAGAGTGTGTATGTGTGTGTATGTATATGTGTGCAGTAGACTTGTGCCACAGTGTGTGTGCGTGCGTGCATGTGTGTGTGTGTAGTAGACTTGTGCCAC